AATGGACCGAGGAAAAATAATTGAACGCTCGCTTTTGAGCTTCTAGGCCGAAATATAGCCCCACTTCATTTAAGTCTGAAAAAGTAGCCTAGACCGCCTTACGCGCAGCGTGATTTTGACCAACTTTGGGTCGATTTCCGAGAAATTGCGGGATATTTTCTAGTTCAGGGGACTCTAAACTAACTCGTGATAGCCTTGGTTTTTAGTGAAATGGACCGAGGAAAAATAATTGAACGCTCGCTTTTGAGCTTCTAGGCCGAAATATAGCCCCACTTCCTTTAAGACTAAAGAAGTAGCCGAGACCGCCTTACGCGCAGTGTGATTTTGACCAGCTTTGGGTCGATTTCCAGGAACTTGGGGCATATTTTTTAGTCTGGGAGACTCTAAAGTAACTGGTGATAGCCTTGCTTTTTGGGTAAAATGGACAGAGGAAAAATAATTGAACGCTCGGTTTGGAGGTTCTAGGCCGAAATATAGCCGCACTTCATTTGACAATGAAAAAGTAGCCTAGACCGCCTTACGCGACGCGTGATTTTGACCAACTTTGGATCGATTTCCAGGAACATGGGGTATATTTTCCAGTCCCGAAGACTCTAAACTAACTCGTGATTGCCTTGGTTTTCGGTAAAATGGAAAGAGGAAAAATAATTGAACGCTCGCTTTTGAGCTTCTAGGCCGAAATATAGCCCCATTTCATTTAAGACTGAAAAAATAGCCCAGACCGCCTTACGCGCAGCGTGATTTTGACCAACTTTGCATCGATTTCCGAGAACTTGGAGGATATTTTCCAGTCCCGAGGACTCTAAACTAACTCTTGATGGCCATGGTTTTTGGTGAAATGGACAGAGGAGAAATAATTCAACGCTTGGTTTCCAGCTTCTAGGCAAAAATATAGCCCCACTTCATTTGAGACTGAAAAAGTAGCCCAGACCGCCTTACGCGAAGCGTGATTTTGACCAACTTTGGGTCGATTTCCAGCAACTTGGCGGATATTTTAAAGTCCCGGGGACTCTAAACTAACTCGTGATAGCCTTAGTTTTCGGTGAAATGGACAGAGGGAAAATAATTAAGCTCTCGGTTTCGAGCTTCTAGGCCGAAATATAGCCCCACTTCATTTAAGTCTGAAAAAGTAGGTTAGACCGCCTTACGCGCAGCATGATTTTGACCAACTTTGGGTCGATTTCCAGGAACATGGGGGATATTTTCCAGTCTCAAAGACTCTAAAGTAACTCGTGATGGCCTTGGTTTTCGGTGAAATTGACAGAGGATACTAAATTGAACGCTCGCTTTTGAGCTTCCAGGCCGAGATATAGGCCCATTTCATTTTACAATGAAAAAGTACTGCAGACCGCCTTACTGCAGACCGCCTTACCCGCAACTTGGGGTCGATTTCCAGCAACTTGGGGGATATTTTCCAGTCTCGCGGACTCTAAAATAACTCGTGATACCCTTCGTTTTCGGTGAAATGGACCGAACAAAAATAATTGAACGCTCTCTTTCCAGCTTCTAGGCCGAAATATAGCCCCACTTCCTTTAAGACTAAAGAAGTAGCCCAGACCGCCTTACGCGCAGCGTGATTTTGACAAACTTTGGGTCGATTTCCAGAACGTTGGAGGATATTTTCCAGTCCGGGAGACTCTAAAGTACCTCGTGATAGCCTTGGTTTTCGGTAAAATGGACAGAGGAAAAATAATTGAACGCTCGGTTTGGAGCTTCTAGGCCGAAATATAGCCCCACTTCATTTWAGTCTGAAAATGTAGCCTAGACCGCCTTACGCGACGCGTGATTTTGACCAACTTTGGGTCGATTTCCAGGAACATGGGGGATATTTTCCAGTCCCGAAGACTCTAAACTAACTCGTGATTGCCTTGGTTTTCGGTGAAAAGGACAAAGGAAAAATAATTGAACGCTCGGTTTGGAGCTTCTAGGTCGAAATATAGTCCCACTTTAGTTAAGACTGTAAAAGTAGCCTAGACCGCCTTACACGCAGCGTGATTTTGACCAACTTTGGGTCGATTTCCAGCAATTTGGGGGATATTTTAGAGTCCCGGGAACACTAAACTAACTCGGGATGGCATTGCTTTTTGGTAAGATGGACCGAGCAAAAATAATTGAACGCTCTCTTTCGAGCTTCTTGGTCGCAAAATAACCCCACTTCATTTAAGACTGAAAAAGTACCCCAGACCGCCTTACGCGCAGCGTGATTTTGACCAACTTTGGGTCGATTTCCGAAAACTTGGGGGATATTTTCCAGTCTCGGGGACTCTAAACTAACTCGTTTTAGCCTTGGTTTTTAGTGAAATGGACCGAGGAAAAATAATTGAACGCTCGCTTTTGAGCTTCTAGGCCGAAATATATTCCCACTTCCTTTAAGACTGAAGAAGTAGCCCAGACCGCCCTACGCGCAGCGTGATTTTGACAAACTTTGGGTCGATTTCCAGCAACTTGGGGGATATTGTCCAGTGCCGGAGACCCTAAACTAACTCGTGATAGTCTTGGTTTTCGGTAAAATGGACAGAGGAAAAATAATTGAACGCTCGGCTTGGAGCTTCTAGGCCGAAATATAACCCCACTTCATTTAAGTCTGAAAAAGTAGCCTAGATCGCCTTACGCGACGCGTGATTTTTACCAACTTTGGGTCGATTTCCAGGAATATGGGGGATATTTTCCAGTCCCGAAGACTCTAAACTAACTCATGATAGCCTTGGTTTTCGGTTAAATGGACAGAAGAAAAATAATTGAACGCTCGGTTTCGAGCTGCTAGGCCGAAATATAGTCCCACTTTAGTTAAGACTGAAAAAGTAGCCCAGACCGCCTTACGCGCAGCGTGATTTTGACAAACTTTGGGTCGATTTCCGAGAACTTGGGGGATATTTTCCAGTCCCGAAGACTCTAAACTGACTCGTGATAGCTTTGGTTTTCAGTGAAATGGACCGAGGAAAAATAATTCAGCGCTCGCTGTTTTACTTCTAGGCCGAAATATAGCCCCACTTCATTTGACAATGAAAAAGTAGCCCAGACCGCCTTACGCGCAGCGTTATTTTGACCAACTTTGGGTCGATTTCCGAGAACTTGGGGGATATTTTCCAGTCCCGGGGACTCTAAACTCACTCGTGATAGCCTTGCTTTTCAGTGAAATGGACCGAGGAAAAATAATTGAACGCACGCTTTTGAGCTTCTAGGCCGAAATATAGCCCCACTTCATTTGAATGAAAAAGTAGCCCAGACCGCCTTACGCGCAGCGTGATTTTGACCAACTTTGAGTCGATTTCCGAGAACTTGGGGGATATTTTCCAGTTCCGGGGACTCTAAAGTAACTGGTGATAGCCTTGGCTTTCGGTGAAATGGATACAGGAAAAATAATTGAACGCTTGGTTTTGAGCTTCTAGGCCAAAATATAGTCATTTAGGACTAAAAAAGTAGCCGAGACCGCCTTACGAGCAGTGTGATTTTGACCGAATTTAGTTCGATTTCCGGGAACTTGGGGGATAATTTCCAGTTCCGGGGACTCTAAACTAACCCGTGATAGCCTTGGTTTTCGGTGAAATTGACAGAGGAAAATTAATTGAACGCTCGCTTTTAAGCTTCTAGGCCGAAATATAGGCCCACTTCCTTCACTTTAAGACTTAAAAAGTAGCTTAGACCGCCTTACGCGCAGCGTGATTTTGACCAACTTTGGGTCGATTTCCAGCAACTTGGGGTATATTTTCCAGTCCCGGGGACTCTAAAATAACTCGTGATAGCCTTGGTTTTCGGTGAAATGGACAGAGGAAAAATAATTGAAGGATCGCCTTCGAGTTTCTAGGCCGAAATATAGCCCCATTTGATTTAAGACTGAAAAAGAAGCCCAGACCGACTTACGCGCAGCGTGATTTTGACCAACTTTGGATCGATTTCCGAGAACTTGGGGGATATTTTGCAGTCCCGGGGACTCTGAAGTAACTCGTGATTGCCTTGGTTTTCAGTGAAATGGACAGAGGAAAAATAATTGAACGCTCGGTTTCGAGCTTCTAGGCCGAAATATAACCCCACGACCGTATTTTACGGTATAGCGTTGCTAATAGCCTCCTTAATTCCGCCTCTTCTTCTATACCCCTCCTCTAAAAAGAACTTGAACGGAAATAGGCTCCTTTGACCCTTGGAAGATTCACGGGAATTCACAGTAATTTTCTTTGTATGTAACATATTGCCCCTTACGGGCTTTTCCATACGATACAAAATTGGGTGTTGGCCAGGTTTTCAAGAGGCAATGTACCAAGTTAGATGACCCAAAAGCTCCGTATGGCCCATTTCTCATTACTCAGTAAATTTTGCTGATAATTTTTAATTAAAAAATGCGTTTTGATTAATTTTCAGCTATCAGTTAGGTCACTCCGGCCAACATGCAATCTCCGCCCAAGAGTGTCCACTCCGTAAATTGAAGGTGCAGCTACATTTCTGACCGGGGCGGGCGGTGGGGATTATTATGGGGATTTCATGGTATTGTCTTTGAAAAAAGTCTTTTCATAATAAACCAGGAATTATTCTGCACTCTCTCTCGAGAAGAGAAGAGTAAGTTTGAGCTTGAAAAAATTCGCAAGATTGCATCAGTTTTGTTATTTCTTCACTCTTGTCATGCCATAACTCGCGTGGGCAACGCGCGAGTCGCAAGAAACTGCCCATCATTCTTTGCAAGAACAGTTCCGCCATGTTGTCGAACCGCCCACTTTGAAGATTAGACGAGGTATTTTCTAGATTAATTTGTCCTATTTTGGCCGGCCTCCTTGTTTTGCTGTCATTCTTCGTTCGTAAGGATGATTTTATATTAATGCAATATTTGGTATAAAGGTGAAGCTGGGACTGGGTTCTTCACGAGCAACCAGAGAGCCGGACACCCGTGTTAGCGTGTGAAATGCGAGGTAAGATTTTAGGGTATTCAGTATAAGTAGAAATTAAGGTTAAAGTTAAATTTGATTTATTTAGGGAGTTGGCTGTGGTAATATGCGTCCCGTACCCTTGTTTAGTGATTCTTTGTCTTGTACGAAAAGTCTCAAAATTGAGATTGTTGTTGAGATGGATCACGGGGAGAGGGGCTGGAAAGGGGGGGTGGGGGGNGGTGGAAATGGGAAGGTAGCGGGGAGGGGATAAGTCATATAAGTTAGAATATTTTTCTTGAAGGACGATGACTTGACTCATTGTAGGTAGATTATTACTGCAGTTAAGGGTGCATAGAGCTGTTACACATTTTGTAACACTAAAAAACATGGTGGAGTATAAAATTTAAGGACAGCTATAACTATCTGACGACATCAAATGAAAGTAAATTATAATGTGCATTTATCTCCTAATGAGAAAATCCTGAATATCTACTTACTTTCAGTTGAAAACAAAATGAAAACACCGTACAGGAAATTGACGATAAAAACAGGAGTGAACGTGTTTGAAATTTTTGACATCCTTTCCATTGCTGTGAAAATTTTGGGACAAAAGTCTTGAAAATCGAGGTGCACATGAGTTGCAGAATCAAGTCGAATACGTATTTTTCACAGAAAACTGATTTTGTTGCGTTACATTCATATTTTTGAACCAGAGTTTTGGTTCGAAATTCAACATTAAACATAAGCATTTTGTCCAGCTTGTGAAAACGTTTGCATCGTTCATTTGGTTTGTTTCGTTTCCATCGTTTGGATAGTTTCTATTGTTTGCAGTGTTTTTATTGTGCGTTTTGTTTTCATCGTACATTCTTATCGTTCCTATCGTTTGTTTGATTTCTATTTTAAGTATCGTTTAGAACCCGGGTTTTGAACTATCTTTGCATTGTTGTTCTTGGAATGCAGGGAAATGTTCATGTGACTGGTCTACTTATGACATTCACACATGAAGCATGTCCCCAGAATTTGCATACTTACTTGGTGACTTGCCACATGAATCTCAACTTCAGCCTCAGTTGATACACAGTTCAGGCACAGGTCAGGCACAGTTTAGGCACGACTTTCAGTTTGGTGCATTAATTTTACGCACAGTTTAGGCACAACAAATGCACATTTTACATATTTTAAGAATCTTCCAATGCGCAGATCATTTAAAATGTTCAGCAACATTGTTCAAGGATGGGTTTAGAGTTTTTTCACTGAAAACATTAGCAAGCCTACTTTAATTCCCAATGCATTTTAAAAACATGCAAAATGTTTGAAGTAAATTTACAATGCTTGTAAACGATACTTGGAAAATTGTTGGAGTATCATTTTTGTTCCTAAACTGGACCAGAATCAGGCTGCCCTTCCTAAATTTATTGCACAATGAGCCAGTGCCATGACAGGTTTGAACTCAGTGAACTTTGGGATCAGCTGAAAGTTTCGTGGCTTTCAGTGGCAGCATTAAATTACTCATGTCATGTCAATTTCTGTTACATTAAGGCATGTTTAACATGACAACTTGTTTCAAACTACAAATGAAACTTCCTGTGCCTTCGTAAAAAACCTAGATGGAACCCAGATGAAATGACTGTGTTGACTCTTTTTGTTGACTTTTGATAAAATACAATTACAGGCTGGCCAATCAGAATCATTGGTTCCCACGACTAGTAAAATTCTAGGCTGAATGAAGCAGAGAGGTTTTCAACTGATTTATCCATTTTTTTTTTATTTAACAACTTAATTTAACAGTTGATATATCTTAATTTTTGTGACATTATTGTAGGTAATCGAGCAATTGATCTTAACTTCAGTGGAATATAAGATCTTTCAATTTTGAGATGCATTTTCTTGTCTGCACGAAACAACCTGTTAGAAGTTTTTTCAATATTTCAAAACACTTGAGAATGTTCCTACAAAATTGGTTGCAACAAACAGATGATCGTTTTGTTTACCAAGCCAGTTTTTCGCATGAAGGTTCCCTGTAAATCCCTTGTGATGTCAACCGATCATGTAGGTCTTTGAATAAATAAACATGAGGTGAGCAATTAAACGTTTGAAACTAAATGAATGATAGAGGGAAAACGAACGATAGAAATGATAGAAAAGGAAGGTTTGACACGATTTAACACCGGGAAACCAAACAAACGTTAGACACGTTGAAAATGCTGCAAATGCTGTAAACACTGCAAACTCTGCACCATTTGGGATTGAAAATGTAACGCCACCTACGTGAATTTCAGTGGGTCATATAAATTTTTCTCCTTGTTACTCGCTAACCCAGCAAAAGAGAGGAGTTTCAAACAGCACCGCAAGCCGATATAACAGAGAATCTATGACTACGATTGTTTCCGCTCACATTCAGTCCACAACAAAAGATATTTAAGTAAAGGTCGTACATTTATCAATGATTAGCGACTGGTAACCAACACCGTGCGCATGGCCTTTATAGTTTTATTTATTTCCGTTACAAGTTGCAAATTGCATTTTACCTCATCCCCTAGTAGTACCCAACATCTCCCTCCCTTAGGCATTTGACCCTATCCATAGTAGTACTCAACACCTCCCTTCCTTGGGCATTTGACCCTATCCATAGTAGTACCAAATACCTCCCTCCCTCAGGCATTTGGCCCTATCCATAGTAGTACCAAATACCTCCCTCCCTCGGGCATTTGACCCTATCCATAGTAGTACCCAACACCTCCCTCCCTTGGGCATTTGACCCTATCCATAGTAGTACTCAACACCTCCCTTCCTCGGGCATTTGGCCCTATCCATAGTAATACCCAACACCTCCCTCCCTCAGGCATTTGGCCCTATCCATAGTAGTACCCAACATCTCCCTCCCTTGGGCATTTGACCCTATCCATAGTAGTACCCAACACCTCCCTCCCTCAGGCATTTGACCCTATCCATAGTAATACCCAACATCTCCCTCCCTCGGGCATTTGACCCTATCCATAGTAGTACCCAACACCTCCCTTCCTCGGGCATTTGACCCTATCCATCCAACACCTCCCTCCCTTGGGCATTTGGCCCTATCCATAATAGTACCCAACACCTCCCTCCCTCAGGCATTTGACCCTATCCATAGTAGAGCCCAACACCTCCCTCCCTGGGACATTTGAAATACCTAACACCCTTTTCCACTGAGCCCTTCAATTTAGCTTTGTTATTTGCCAATCAAGGTTCTGGAGTCACTCCTTGTGGTTCGGTCAAGTCTGCATAGCGAATTACCCAGTCTGTACAAATGGAAGATATACTAGAGATAACTGATTGAAAGGGAACAAGTGGTTCAATTTTAAGTCACACACTGAGGAATGGCTGACTTTTTAAGAAAGACTGAAATAATAGAGATTTTAAAAATTACCTAGTTTACAGTTGATGGCAAAAAGGAAACAAGAAAAATTGCCTTCAACTTTTCTTTTCCTCTAATCAGTAAAACAATCGTGCAAAAAAAAATAGAAAAATTTCCCGTTCACATCAAAATATACATTCAAATATTCAACTTGTGACAACAAGCTTGTATTTAAGCTTCAGAAGATTTTGGCTGCATCAACAAATGTCAGAAATTGAACTTTTGAAATAAACTTTTGAAGAGTAGCAAATTATGCTGTCAAATGAGACTGATTTTTCTCTTTGTTTAAATCATTTATAACTTCTTTTCAACAGGTGGAGGCAAATTAGGACAAGACAGGAAGAGGATTATCATTATTTACCATATTCTAGGATGATGATTTTATTGCAGTCCAGGAGCAGGTAAACACTTAATGTGTTCTTATGCAATGATTAAATCAAAACTCAACCTGGCTCAGATCCCTGGTCATCCTCCTGAGGTGGAATTATTACCCCTGGGATTGTCTCTGGGATTACCCCTGGGATTATTACTGGGATTACCCCTTTCATTGCCCCTGATAGTTAATCCCCCAGATATTGATATTAAAATCACCAAATTCTAGGACAAGGAAAATTTAAATTCGCCGTCATTAGAAGTTGCCACAGGTCAGGAAAAAGTGAGGGAATGTTATTTATCTAAGATGGAAGAAAATGGAAAAGTTCCTCCTTCTTAACCATTAAAGCCTCACAATATTGGGTGCAAATAATGGTTCATAGAAAACCACCCTACATTTTGTACAATCTTGGGTGTACATTCAGATAGGAGGGCTTATTATTGTCCAAAACAATTTTTTGCATATAAGACTTTGGGAGGGGCTTATTTTCAGTTGGGGGGTGGGGCTTCCTTTTGGAATTTTATGGTACTCTACCCTGCTGTGCAACAAGAGCACTTTTTTCATGGTACAGATCTGACAGCCCTATAATATCTCTGTGGCCCACAAACCTTTCAATAAATTATGACACTGTTTAGCCTAGGGGTAAATCCATTATTAAACAGCACAAAATCAAATGGCTTAACTGTCAGGAAAGAGAGATTGGCAGGTATCTCAACAGAAGATGAACACAATGCAAACAAGTGTGATACTAATGAGGATATCACTGAACACCATTAAGAACATGGGAAGTTCATTTGTCACACATCAATTACGATAAACAGTAGTACAATACTGAATGCTCAATCATGAGTGAACGTTCCCTTATTCTAGCAGTTAGCACAAACACTATTCATGTCTGTATTTAAGCTTCTATCCAGCTGTGTAATCTAGTAAAATTTCTTAGCTACTCCTAGACTGGCCCATATATTTGTTAGCCCCATTCATGGCTAACAAGCTTGCCACATTGCATCTATTTAGTTCATAGTACAGCTCTACCTGTTGGTTGAACTTTGAGACACTGTCTTGCGATATAAATCTCAATACACTGTTACAGGGCATTATCCTGGTAGCTTGCATGAGAGTACCCAGTTTGTAGCAATTGAAAGGCTTGGTGGAAAAAGGGCATTAGCTATTTTTGGTCAAAAGCGAACTCTGTTAAAAACACTCCAAATGTCACAATCATGCAGTTTTGTTTAGGCATTTTTGAGATATTACATATGCAATAAATTTGTATTTGTTGTGAGTCACGTCAGCGTGCGATCGCAAAGATGTTGATTTCACTTAAAATACAGCAAAGATGTTGATTTCACTTAAAATATAGCAAAATGTTGATTTCACGCAACGCGTATGATCAAAAATGTTGATTTCAGGTCAAGAACATTTAAACTGTTGATTTCACATTAACGTGTTACTGCAAGGATGTTGACTTAACCCCTTCACTGCTACAAGGATGTACTGAGTACTTCCTGTATCAGATTACTTATATGCTATAAGGACGTACTCAGTATGTCCTAAATCAGAGTACTTGTATGAATATTTCCTCACCTTGTAAAAACAATGATACCGCAAACAACTAAACTTATGAGGGTCTGGTAAAGACTAGTACGCTTAGTGACAGGTACATGATGAAAAACTCAACAAAATATAATTTTCTTGTCAAGCACATGTTATCTGCCATCTTGGATTTTCCGTGTGTGGTTATACCCAGCAAATTGTGCGATGGTCTCGTCCTTTTTGCATTTGAAATTGGCAAGCAATGTCTAGGTATACTGTGATCGAAATTCTAAATAGACTGTGGAGTGAATCTGGCAACCAAGAAGATATTTCTGGCAATGAGTTTGAACAAAGTGGTGAAAATGATGAAGATTATTTGGACGAGTCTGAAAGCTCAGATGAGTTTTTATTGTACATTTAATTTCTGTAGCTGAAAACTGTGTAGAAGATTAAATATATTTTTGTATTTCAAACTTTGTAAAAATACCCAAATTTGTCCCCCATGTGGATGAAAAAATGGCCTGCCTTGAAAGGGTTAAAATTCAGCAAAATGTAGATTTCAAGCAACGCACAATGTCAAAAATGTTGATTTCATGTTAAAAACGGTTAAAGTGGCTATGAAGTAAAAAATAATTGCTGCTTATTTGAAAGGCTTTTCAAAGTAAAGAAGAATGGTGTTTCCCTTTTTGGAATATCTTTCTTCGTTTTAGAGATATTTACGTTTTTGTATTATGCAAATAATGAAAGTGATGACGTCATAGGTGGTTCCACTAAAGCAGTACAACACTCAATCAAGAATATCTCTAGAAATATTAAAGCAGTGTTCTTTAAACTAGGCACCAGAAATGTACATCACAAATGAAACAACACCTTATTTGCCGATAAACTGGGTTCACTCCTTGTGGCTCGGTTAAGTCTGCATAACGACTTTCCTAAAGTCTGTACAAACAGAAGATACACCAGAGGTAACTAATTGAAAGCAAACAAATGGTTCAATTTTAAGTCACACACTGAGAAATGGCTGACTTTTTACAAAAGACTGAAATAACAGAGATTTAAAAATTACCTAGTTTACAGTGGATGGTAAAAAGGAAACAAGAAAAATTGCTTCCAATGTTGTTTTCTTTTCCTCCAATCAGTAAAGCAATCCTGCAAAAAGTAGAAAAATCTCCTGTTCGCATCAAAATATACATTCAATTTAGTATTCTCTCTGTAGCGTATGAACTGCTGAAGACAGACTGCAATAGTTTAATTTTCACCCTTTGCTATCTGTTGTAAACATCATTGCTAACCTCCCTCAGGGCTGTCACCAAGGGCCAGAGGTTGATGATTTTCTCTAGCTGCTGTGAGTTGGAGTCCCAGCTTAGTTTGATAGAAAACTAAGCATTGAAGACTGGAAAAAACTAGAAGCAAAGGCAGTTTACATTTCAAATATCATGCTGTCTGCTGCTTTGTAAATGCAACAAGAAGATCTGTTAGATCTTAAAACCGCGCTTTTAAAATTTAACTATTTTCTTAGCACTACAGTTGCAACGCAGTGTACATTCGAAAGTAAT